CCGACAATTAACTGTAGAAGGAGAAAAGGCTATAGCAAAAATAGAACAGGCCATCAATAAACAGCAACTACAGTATCTAGATTATTCCAAATCTTGGGCCTTAATTATTCTAGCCACTAAATATACTCCTACAGGATGCTTGTGGCAGGAAGGACCATTAGAATGGATACATTTACCTGTCACTCCTAGGAAGATTGTACCACCCTATCCCTCCCTAGTGGCCACTCTCATTATCAAAGGTAGACGTCGCAGTATCGAACTCTTTGGAAGAGAAGTTACTGAGATAATAATACCTTATAAAAGAGAACAATTATACACACTATTACAATTTGAAGAAGAGTGGCAAATAGCTATAGGTAACTTCCCAGGACAAATTTTACACCATTTGCCAAGATCACCTATATTGCAATTTCTCTCCCTACATCCGTTTATATTTCCTATTAAATGTTCAAAAGAACCATTATCACCTCCTGCCTCCTTAGTATTCACAGATGGTTCCTCTAATGGTAGGGCAGTAACAATCATTGACTCAACCCATGTTCAACAAACTCTAGAGACGTCAGCTCAGAGAACAGAGCTTTTGGCAGTCATTTATGCTTTTGAACAATTGCAACAGGTTCCCTTTAACTTGTACACTGACTCTCAATATATAGTTAAATTATTTCCTCATATTGAGACTGCCTCTCTCCCACAAGGAAGAACAGCCATTTTCTCTTTGTTAACTCAGCTACAAACTTGCATTCACAAACGAGAAAAGGCTTTCTATATTGGACATATTAGAGCTCATTCCTGCCTACCAGGACCCTTAAGCGAAGGAAATTATCAGGCGGATTTACTAACTCGCCCAGTAGTTTGTACAGCTCTAGAAGAAGCCCGGCGGTCTCATGCCATTCACCATCAAAATGCTTCTGCTCTCCGTCTATATTATCGCATATCTAGAGAAGCTGCTCGAAGTATTGTGCGTGACTGCGGCCATTGTCCTACTCATTTTCCTAGCCCTGCTACTGGAGTTAATCCAAGAGGACTTAGACCCTGTGACTTATGGCAGATGGATATTACTCATGTCCCATCTTTTGGCAAACTTTGCTATGTGCATGTTTGTATTGATACCTTTTCTCATGTTATCCTTGCTTCTGCACGTACAGGAGAAGCCTTTAAAGATGTAAGTCAACATCTGTTCCAATGCTTTTCCTACCTAGGAATACCAAGGGCACTTAAAACTGACAACGGGCCTGCCTATACCTCTAGAGCTTTTAAAAACTTATGCTCTACATTCGGCATCGCACATACTACAGGAATACCCTACAATCCTCAAGGCCAAGCAATAGTAGAAAGGGCTCACCAAACTTTAAAAACACAAATTAAAAAATTACAAGAAAATGAGTTTAAATATTCCTCTCCTCATCATGTTCTACAACATGCTCAATTTGTAATTAATATACTAAATGTAGATTCTGAGGGAAATTCCCCGATGTACAGGCATTGGAACCCTGATCTAACTAAACCTAAAGCCCTCATCAAATGGAGAGACTTGCTTACAGGAGCCTGGAAGGGACCTGATGTACTTTTAACCTGGGGGAGAGGATATGCTTGTATATTTCCACAGGACGCAGACTCACCTGTGTGGATTCCAGACCGTCTAGTCCGACCTTATGTCTCACCGCCCTCCATCTCTGCCTCACCATAGCACACCTGACCAGTGCCCGTCTGCAGCAGATGTACAGCCCTGAGCTGGAACAGTCTGTCCATTGGGAGGATCACATGTGCCTCCTTTTTGTCTTTCCACATGTCCCAGCTTTGCCCCACATCTCCTTTCCTTTTTCCTTTTTTTAAAATCTAACTACTTGTTTTCTGGTTCTTTGGCCTTTCTCCTTCTTTCCTGAACACAGCCTTTTCTAGAATCTCCCTACCCTACTGTTCCAGGAAGGGCACCTCCCTTTTATGCCGTGACTAGGGGTGTTTGGTATATGTCCCATACATGGAGTTGTCTTGTGCCAAGAGCCTGACATCCTGGGCTGAGAAAGCCCTGTTCTCGGACTCTCCTTTGTCCTGTTTTGGCCCCTCTTACCCTTGTGCCAAGAGGGACCCTCTTCTTACAATCCAATTGCCCATAGCTATTGCCTGAGCTCTCTGTTCATGCTGAGGTTGAAGCCTCATGGTGGCTGGTACCATGGATCTGTCTCTCACCCAATAGCGTGAGCTGAGCCCTCCCTGGAGAAGAAACCTGGGTTCCCCAAGATATGTGATCAATGCCGGGGCCCCGCCAGCAGGCAAGGGGATCCCAAGGCAGTTGCTGGGCATGGAGGCCAGAGGGACATAGGCTACCAAGGAGACAGAACTGAACCTCACATCACCCTACTTGGCCCAGAGATGGCTGGTAGTCAAAGACGGGTAAGACCCCACAGGGTGGGGCAACCTAAGACAGGCACAGTCGGGGGCCAGTAGGAGAGAACTTGGGGTTCAACAGAGGTGGGGCACAGATCCTCACCCCCCCCAATGTTTCAGGGGCTTGAACACTCGCCCCTTCTGAGGAAGGTCTCCTGTCCCCATGGCTGCTTCCCGCTTCCCACGCCCAGCTCAGATCGGGACCCAGGTAAAGACAGAGACTGGCTGACAGCAGCTGCCCTCTCACTGCAACAGGACTTGTTTCCCATTTCTACCTTGGACCACGGGGAAAGGGTCAGCTGAAGGAAAGGGCTATGTCAGGATGCTGCCTTCTTCCCTTTGTTCTCCCTCTTTTTTCTAAACACTTCCATGCCTTGTAGTTCTTTTGCTTTCTCTTCTTTTTCTCTCTACCACCCTCCATCTTCCATATCAGCTGACCCAGAGGGCACAGCTTACTCCTCCTCAGACACCGACACCACCATCAACCACGGCCCTGATGGACCCTTTGATGCAGCCCTTCAACTCGCTGACGCTTCGGGAAGCCTGTCGCCAGTGACACCGCCTGCTAACCAGACCAACAAAAACAATCAAACCAACAACTTGAGGACAGCTGAAATCCCTTGACTGAAAAGGCCGGCAACCTTCTACAGGAATGGGGCTCCTTGTGCGCTCCATCCACTATGTTTATAGTTATGCTCACTGTCATTGCTTGCCAGTCTTCTTCCGAGTTTTAAACGGCCCAATCTGAGAGGTGGCCACTGATTTGCATGCGCTATCATTTAAAAAATAAAAAAGGGGGAATTTGCTGGAAGCCGGCCCATGCTTGCTGCTTGACACAGTCGCTGCAGGATAGAAACATCTGCACAGCATATGTTTCAAGGGACCTGGCGTATATAGCATACTGTTCTTAATATGTTTGCTCCCCTTAGCGCTGTGTGTTTTAACCAAGGTCACCTCTCCGAGAAAGGTTGTTTCCCCAGGTAGGAATTTTTCCCTGAAGTCAGGGAGGGGATGCCTCTCCTAGAAAGGTTGTTTCCCCAGGTAGGAATTTTTCCCTGAAGTCAGGGAGGGGATGAAACTTCTTAACTAAGTGCCAGGCGGGTAGTTAATCACTACAAACAATCATGCTTAAGCTACATAATCTTTACTCCCTGGAATGGAGATAAGAAACGCCCTAACCTTTGTAATAGAAATTGACAGGATTAAAATCAACTGGTATAAATACGGATGTAACAAGACAATAAACAGCAGAACCTCTCTGGAGATCCAGACCAGAACTTGGCTGGAGATCCTGGCTAGAGATCCTGGCTAGGCTGCTGATCAACTGAACGCTGTCTCTGTGTCATTCCTTCTTCGCCGACTCCATCCACACCTTTGGGGACCCCTGGACCTGCTGGGGTTGGACTCCGGCAGTAAACAGAGAAGTGAAATAAACGTTATCAGGTTTTAGGCCAACACACATAAAGGAAGACAAAACATTTGGAATAAAGTACACAGCATAGGTAATCTATACTAATAAAAGGGTAATATGCTAATTAAACCGGGTGTCTTCCAGATGCCCATTTGGACCAAGCTGCAGCGGTTCAATGGCTGTGAGGGCCAGGGCTCAGGCAGCTGTAAGCCCCAGCGGCTGCAAGGCCCAGGGTTCAGGTAGCCGTGGCCGTTCAGCAGTGGCAGCAACAGCAGGGTGATGGGGGCGGCACCTTCCCCTGATTGGCCTGGTCGCCTCCGCATAGGGAGGTCAAACCATGTCTTAGGCCCAATCCCTGTGAGAGGGGGCAGGCCGGGCTGAGGGCCCCCCCCCCTCAGTGCAGGAATTTTCATGCACCCGGCCTCTAGTATAGTCAATAATGTTGTATTATCTATGTTTGATGTTAGATGGGTGCTAGACTGATCGGTGTGATGACTTCGTAAAACATTATATAAATGTCTTACTAATATGTTGTTCACCTGAAACTAATATAATATTGTATGGCAAATGTAATTGAAAATTTAAGAATAAATAAAATGTGCTAATAAAATAAAAATGTTAAATACATTAGAAAATATGATAAAACAGCATTTAATTAGAAGAGCAAGTTTTTAAAAAAAAATTGGACATACAGTTCAGTAAGTTCAATACACAGAGATTCTCACTTTCTATCTTTTAAAATGAGGTATAATTTACAAACACACAGATCTTAAGTTACAATTCCGTTGGGTTGAAACAAGTTTACACTTATGGAACCTATATCATTTTCAAAGAAATAGAACAATATTATCATTTCTGATAGCACTTCATAAATGTTAGCTTATTTAACTTAAAAACAAAAACACAAGAGTGGGTACTATTATTCACCCTTCCTATAGATGAGGAAACTGAAACACAGAGATTAGACAACTGGACAAACACTAGTAAATGGATGCAACCCTGGGACACAAGCAGATTCCCAAACCTGTAGAACCAGCTTTCTGAATATGCCACCAAGAGGGAGGGACTGCCTCTGGATCCCACACCAGCTAACAGAAATTTCCCACTCCTGCCAGCCTTTAAAAGGGCAAGTCCTGCATTAAATGCTTCAGCTTAATGATTTCTGTAGAAAATTTACCAAAACACGCTTTGCAGGTCTGAGCTGTGCGTGCAAGGGTAAAGGGGATTTTATATTCTGGAAAAGTCTGCTGCCTCCCATCTGTTCCTGGGGACCAGTCTGCGTGGAGTTCACCTTCCAGGTGAGAACTCATTTCACTGGAAAGAACCACTGCTTTGGGAAACCCACCCCCGGCCCTTCTCCCTTTTCTCCTACAGCAAATGACGTTGGTGGTTTTACAGAAGTGTTGAGTTTATTTAGTGATACTTGGACCATGGGAAAGGGAGTCTATTCCCTTTGAGAGAAAACGTTTCTGCACCTACTATGTACAGAGCAGATCTATGGTGGAAAAATTCTCAGGAGGACTAAGTCAGTTCTCCATTCTGAACAAAGAAATGTGACGAAGGGATTTTGGAAGCTAGTGGGAGAAGGGAGAGGTAATAACATTGGCAAGAATGGATTCTTGGTCCTAGTAACATTTATTTAGCACCAAGTGTATAGAGATACTATGCAGATGTTGTTTTGTTTTGGGGGGAAACAGTCTAAAGGAGGCAGCTTGTTCCTTGAATAAATGTTGACCAGGAGAATAAAGTACTCTGTTAAAATCAGAGAGAAAATATTCAGACCAGATGTACTATTCATTTAAATCATGTGTGTGTGTATGTGTGTGGGGGGGGGGGTGGGGGGGAGCTAAGGAGATAATTTAAAAGATTTTATCTATAGTGCTCTGACCATAAAATAGGTTTTTTAAATTTTAAAATTTTGTTTAATATATTTGAATATTATTGAAAACTTAAAAATAAGCCTTTCTTTTCTTCCAGCAATTACACTTCTAAAAACTTTATCTTAAGAAAATAAACATGGATGCATATTTACAGAATCTGTTCAACAGAAAATTATTAACAATAGAGAAAAACAGTTAGCAACCCTAATGTCCAATAATAGGAGACTGGTTCAAAATATGTATGGTACATGCCTGCAATGAAATAATAAAAATAGAATATCTGTAATTTATAATAATGAAATATATATTAACTATATATAGATATTTTTTAACATTCATGTTCTAAAATATTTGATGACATGGATTCTGTCATTTTAAATTTAAAAAGTTACAAAATTATATATATATATATATATATATATTTATATATATATATATATATCATGACCTTATTTTTGTAAAAAATAAAACAATGTGTAAAAACAAATGGATACATATTCTCAAGTTAATATGTATCCGTATTAACTGGATAGTGGAATTTTTCTTTATAAAATAGTTTTTATTATTTTATTTTCCCTTCTAAATTTTATTTTCTATATTCTTAAAATTCCCATGCATATTATATATTGAATTATATAAACACAGATATACATATTATAATTAAAAACTATGTACTATTTTCTGTTCCACATTTTCTCCTTTTGTTTTAATACTGTCCCTTGTGCATGCCTGTGTTGTATCATAGTTCTTATGGTAATGGCTCCTTGCAGTTGCAATTTAATAACAGGTCATATTTATGTAACCTTATTCTAGTGACAAAAGAAACTGTGTCTTATTTTTTCCTATTTGTTGATGTTGCTTTATAAAACTGCTTTCTACAACTCCAACTCATTTTCCTTGTTTGAGTTGTCCCTTTTGAAGACATGTCCAGTAAGGGGAAGACTGGGTCTAAAGCGCCTTCTTTGTGGACTTTGCCCACTGCCAAGGCTGAAAGCTCACATAAGCTGTTTTAGAGCCACTAAAGTTTCAGAAACGTCTAAGATGAAGAAAATGTTCTCTCTCTTAAGTATGATGAAGGTTTCATGGACTTATAATGTGTTAAATCTATAGACTTGTTCACATTATATGCTTTCAGTTATGTCCATTTAAATTACTCAGTGTGCCCTAGCTGGTTTGGCTCAGTGGATACAGTGTTGGCCTGCAGACTAAAGAGTCCCAGGTTTGATTCAGGTCAAGGGCACATGCCTGGGTTGTGGGCTCCATCCACAGTAGGGGTCTGCAGGAGGCCTCTGATCAATGATTCTCTCTCATCATTGATGTTTCTATCTCTCTCGCCCTCTCCCTTCCTCTCAGAAATCAATAAAAATATAATTTACAAAATAAAATAAATTACTGAGCTTTAAAGTTGTTTTTAAAAGAGACAACAAAAATCATAACGATGCTAGAAAAGACTTTCCTCTCCCCCATCTGAGCAGTAGTGTTAAGGGAGATAAAATGGCTGTTATTTTCCCTGAAAGGACTGACAAGCAACTGAGGGTGTGGGACAGGACACATGCACATGAAAAAGTCAAGAACATTCACATGTGCAATTTCAAACCTGCTCAAACAGCAGGTGCCAAAGAGTAAATGAGATCTTTAGAACCAGAAATATTTTCCCATTGAAAACAACCACCACTGGTCCCATCTCTATAGTTTCTGTAGTTGATCATTCACAAAGGACATGTGTTTCTGGAAGGAAGGAAGGAAGGAAGGAAGGAAGGAAGGAAGGAAGGAAGGAAGGAAGGAAGGAAGGAAGGAGAGAGAGAGAGAGAGAGAGAGAGAGAGAGAGAGAGAGAGAGAGAGAGAAAGAAAGAAAGAAAGAAAGAAAGAAAGAAAGAAAGAAAGAAAGAAAGAAAGAAAGAAAGAAGAAGAGAGAGAGGAGGGAGAGAGGGAGGGGAAGGGCGGGGAGGAGAGGAGAGGAGAGGAGAGGAGAGGAGAGGAGAGGAGAGGAGAGGAGAGGAGAGGAGAGGAGAGGAGAGGAGAGGAGAGGAGAGGAGAGGAAGCCAACAACGTCCTGGCCTAAGGTCTGGGAAGCCAGAGTGCCTCAGCACTAAAGGGATGAGTACATCAAACAATATATTCTCTGCTTCCTTCGGGGAATGATGTTAATCATGACACATAAATACTATTCTGTGTCAGGCACTTACTAAGAAATTCCCATGGGCTTTTTTATTCCCTTGATGCCAGTGCCTGGATTACTCATTTAATCCCCACAAACTATCTCTCAGTAAGTGTTGGTGTTATTCTCAGGACACTATTCACACTGAAAACACTCACACTGTGAGCTAGGTTAAAGTTACACTGCATTTCTTAAATAAACAAAAAAACAAACAAAAAATAATCCAATGGGCTGAGCTAAAATACTGTGTGGTTAGCTGCCAGTAATGATAATAATGACAGTAATGAAAATAATAAGTTTGAGTTATTATATGCTAGAAACTCTACTATGCACTTAATATGTATTAACTCACTTAACCATCACTATGATTTTCTTTCTATTTCTAAACCAACAAGGTGTTCAGTTAGGTTTTTGTAAGAAATTTCAGACAGACACCAGTTTGTGAGGATAAAGCCAGTTGATGAGAATAAAACACAGAAGGGAGGTAGCCTGGAGCTGAGGAACACCTTTAATTTTTGGCAAAAGTTGCAAGTCGATGGCTTTCTTGTCACAGCTGCTCTGTCCTCTCATATTTCTGTTTCTCTGTGTTGAGGAGCTCACCCTCCTGGTGACTGGGCAGGCGCTGCTCCTTTTTCCTGAAGTAAGCACCAGTGAGATGTTGGGGATTTTCACCTCCCCTCTGTGTTTGTTCTCACCAGTGGGCTTTATCCTCACACACTGGTGTACTAAATTTCTTACAAAAAAACTAATTAAACACTGATACCGGTCTTGGTAGAGGTGCCGGTGATGAATTTCTGGTGTGTTCTATGCAGAGGAAATTGATTAAGGCACAGAGGTGCAGACATTAAGGCCCCTGCTCAGCTGCTTCAGGAAAACCACTCCCTTGACTCCATGGTGCCTAGGGAGGACCATCAGAATGGTCCCGGGAGTGATGCTGGCCCACAGTCTTCTCACATGCAGACCAAAGGGCTTCTTGTTGTGGCTCAACAGCTTTGGAGGCACATCTTCAGTGGGGTAGTATCTAGGCATTTTGCGAAGTGTAAATGGGCACCACCTTTTGGGCACCACCTTTCTTGTCACTACCAGCTGGGTTTGTGACAGCAGCAAGAACTTTCTCCGTTTTCATTTCAATCCAGGATTTAGCTACTGAATACTTCCACTTGTGCATGGCCTTTAGGAATACATAGCCGACCAGGAATATCTGCCAATTCCTCTGACCAGGACAGGGTTTCACCTCTGTGGGGCTCCCTCTTCTTACACATATTACCTTGGGGTTACCCTTCTTGACCTTGTCACCAGCATCAGCCTTCTTGGCTCCAGGTTTCTCTTCCTTAGTATCCAGCTTCTCAGCTTCTTCAACCTCCATCTTGCAAGATGGGAAGGAGAGAATAATTTTCTAGGTAGAATCTGTTTTCATTAGGATTCATGAGTAAACCATGGAACCAAGAGGGTAAGTAACTTCTCCAAGACTACAGAGTTTGTTAGTGGTGGCACTGGGGACATCGCTGACTGCAACCTAATCCCCAAAATGCACTGCATATTTAAAGAACATATTTGTTAACATAAATGTGTATTAAATAAAAATTCAGGGCAGTGTAAGAAAGGGAAGTGAACATTTTCAAAAACAGAACCAAGTGCTTTCTGCCATCCTCCTGCTTCCTTGGTGTTACTGAGGACTTCAGTATGGGTAACATCAATAGAGGGCACCGAAGAAGGTCCTGGACATTAGCATAGAACCTGCTACTCTAGTGTCTTGGTGGTGGTTCCACCTGAACTTTTATGGTGCTCTCCTGCGTAGTAATGGTAGAAATCTAGTGTGACTCTACTTTCTCTCCCCCCAAGGCAGTTATTTTAGAAGTGGGCAGACTTATCTTACCTGCTACCTTCTAAGATTCAGGTAAAGGTGTGTGAATCTAATTCCTATGGGTTCAACATTTTCTCATCCTGACTGTTTCTTGATCCTCCCTCTAGGCTAAAATACCTGCCAAGATGCTCCACTTGCAGGGTCCACAGATGCTGCAGATGCTAGAAAAATCCTTGAGGAAGAGCCTTCCTGAGTCCTTAAAGGTGAGAGTGAGACAACCTCAGGGAGAGAAAGGGTTGTATATTCTTTTGATAGAAGTGGGGGGGAAAATGATCTTTTAATGAGCAGCTATTTTGTGGTGGAAATTCACTTATGCTCCATCTCATTTACACTCATGTTCACATCACCTCTTTTACAAGGGAAGTATATAATGAAACTTCTTTGTACTATCTTTGCTACTTCATGTGAACAAATTAAAAGTTTAAGAAATAGCTATAATTGATTTGGCTTAGTAGGTAAGCGTTGGCCTAAGGACTGAAGGGTCCCTGGTTCTATTCTGGTCAAGGGCACCTGCCTGGGTTGTGGGCTTGATCCCCAGTTGGGGGCATACAGGAGGCAGCCAATCAATGATTCTCTCTCATCATTGATGTTTCGCTCTCTTTCCTTCTCCCTTCCTCCCTGAAATTAATAAAAATATATTAAAAAGAAAAGTTTAAGAAATAAGGTTTGTTCATCCATGTCATAGAATGCTCTAAAGTCATTAAAATTATTTATATTTATTGGAAAAGAAACATGATTAGAATGTATTAATTCAATGGAGAGAAACATTTTGAAATTACATTTATCTGAAATTTTTCATTTTGTAAAATTTCTTGTGTGTGTACATGAATAGTAGAAAATCTATTAAAAGATTTTTTCAGAAACCAAGATGGTGGCATAGGTAAACACCGGAGATTGCTGCCTCGCACAACCACTTCAAGAATACAAATAAAAGACAGAACGGGCATCATCCAGAACCACAGGAAGGCTGGCTGAGTGGAAACACTACAACTAGAAGGAAAGAGAAAAGCATACTGAGACTCAGAGGAGCTGTGGTGCGGAAGTTAAGTGCAGAGGTACGGAGGCGGACGCAGATAGGGCTGGTGGCTGAGGACACGGTTGGCTTTTTCAATCAGGAGGGAGTCTCAAGCTCCTGACTCCTCTGAACTCCAGTTCTGGGCAAGTCTCTGGGGACCCAGACTGATATGGGGAGAGGCTAGACTGTCTGGCATTGGTCGCATCTCGAGGGCGGCTTTCTCTCAGAGGTGCTTGCAGCGATTACCAGGACACTGAGACTTGGGGCCTCTTAGGGAAAGACTGATGATCAGCCATAGCTGTTTGCTCCACCCTATTGATCCCCTGGGACCCCGCCCCAACCAAATTGTGCAGGGAGGCTTTTGCATATGAAAGACCTGGCCCTTTGCAATCTGAAAATTACCTAACAAACTTGTAGCTGGCCCAAGGCCCCAGGGCAACTTGCATTGCTGCACAGCTGAGCTCCTGCTAAGTAGCCTCAGGCAAAGGCTAGATTAGCACCTCCTGAGAGATCCAGGAGCCAGTGTACCCGGTGGTCAGAGTGGGACCATCCAGATTGCAGCTCCTCAGACCCATAAGGGACATACTCAGGGGGCAGACTCAGTGAGCACCAAAGCCCCATTGAAGCAAGTCTTTCCCCGGAGGAGTGTATCCAGCACAGAAGTTCTCCCACTGCAGACACAGCTGATTCTCACAGACAATTGGCCTGGAGGTCAATTCCTCCCAGTGTTACCTACAACAATCAAGGCTTAGCTACAACAAGACTGTGCACAAAGCCCACAAGGGGGTGCACCAAGAGTGTCCACCTCAGGTAATTGGGGAGGCTGAGCCACTGGGCCCTATAGGACACCTAGCACAGAAAGCCACTCCATCAACACAGGGAAGCACAAAAAATGCGGAGACAAAGAAACAGCTCAAAAATGACAGAAATGGAGGAAAGCAAACTACTGGATATAGAGTTCAAAACCACACTTATAAGGTTTTTCAAGAATTTTCTAGAAACCGCCCATAAATTTAGTGAGACACTGAAGGATATGAAAAAAGACCAACTAGAAATTAAGCATACACTGACTGAAATAAAGAATATTATACAGAGATCCAACAGCTGAGAAGAGTATCCCAAGAATCAAGTCAAGGATTTGAAATACGAAGAAGCAAAAAATACCCAACCACAAAAGCAAAAAGAAAAACGAATCCAAAAATATGAAGATAGTATAAGGAGGCTCTGGGAAAACTTCAAGCACACCAACATCCGAATTATAGGGGTGCCAGAAGAAGAGAGAGAGCAAGATATTGAAAACCTATTTGAAGAAATAATGACAGAAAACTTCCCCTACCTGGTGAAAGAAATAGACTTACAAGTCCAGGAAGCACAGAGAACCCCAAACAAAAGGAATCCAAAGAGGACCACACCAAAGCACATCATAATTAAAATACCAAGAGCAAAAGACAAAGAGAGAATCTTAAAAACAGCAAGAGAAAGACAGTCAGTTACCTACAAGGGAGTACCCATACGACTGTCAGCTGATTTCTCAACAGAAACTTTGCATCCCAGAAGGGAGTGGCAAGAAATATTCAAAGTGATGAATACCAAGAACCTATAACCAAGATTACTTTATCCTGCAAAGCTATCATTCAGAATTGAAGGTCAGAAAAAGAGCTTCACAGATAAGGAAAAGCTAAAGGAGTTCATCACCACCAAACCAGTATTATATGGAATGCTGAAAGGTATAGAAGAAGAAGGAGGAGGAGGAGGAGGAGGAGGAGGAGGAGGAGGAGGAGGAGGAGGAGGAGGAGGAGGAGAGGAAGAAGAAGAAGAAGAGAGAAGAAGAAGAAGAAGAAGAAGAAGAAGAAGAAGAAGGAGGAGGAGGAGGAGGAGGAGGAGGAGGAGGAGGAGGAGGAGGAGGAGGAGGAGGAGAAGAAGAAGAAGGAGAAGGGGAAGGGGAAGAAGAAGAAAAAGATAAAGATACAAATTATGAACAACAAATACACATCTATCAACAAGTGAATCTAAAAATCAAGTGAATAAATAATATGATGAACAGAATAAACTGGTGATTATAATAGAATGAGGGGCATAGAAAGGGAGTGGACTGACTATTCTCGGGGGGGGAAAGGGGTGTGGGGGATGCAGAAAGAGACTGGACAAAAATCGTATACCTATGAATGAGGAGAGTGCGGGGGGGGGGGGCGGTAAGGTTAGAGGGTGGGGTGGGAACCGGGTGGAGGGGAGGTATGGAGGGAAAAAAGGAACAACTGTATTAATCTTAACAATAAAGATTTAATTTTAAAAAAAGATTTTTTCACCTTTTTAAAAATTGAGATATAATTGACATACATTACATTAAATGTTTGTTAAATTCTACAATGGGAGAGTTCATCATTTTTATTCATAAATTTTATTAGTCTGAATATTTTACATTGTGAATATATTTCTAAAAGATACATTGATTGAGACAAAACACTGAAACTTAAAATTGCTTGGCAGAAATACTCATTAGAGAGTATTTCATAGAAATATAAAATTTGATGATAAAATTTCATGATTTCATAGAAATAAACCTGTCCTGATCAAATAAGTTACTTACCATTCTTTCCTAATACAAGGGTGGGAAAAGTAGTTTTACAGTTATGAGTACATGAAACAGAGTTAATAAAGCTATTATAATAAACATAACCTGCACTTTTTTTCAGATAAACAATTATAAACCTACTTTTACCAACCCCTGTACATTGACCCTCCCACTTTCTTGTGATGCTGCAGGTTTATGGGACCATCTTCCACATGAACCAGGGAAACCCATTCAAGCTAAAGGCTCTGGTGGACAAGTGGCCTGATTTTAATACAGTAGTTGTCCGTCCTCAGGAGCAGGTAAGGTGTCAGATATGGAATGAATGTGCATCTATGTATGTATTTGCTAGGTGTTTATATGCACCTGGCAGTGTGGGAGACCTGGGCATATAGAAATGAATCCCTAGAATAGTAAATAGTCCCTGTCCTCAAAAATTCCACAGCCTGGAAGAGAATACAGATGAGTCCACAGATAAATTACAGCATGGTCTGAAATGTGCGGCAAGAGGAGAATTGAATGAAATGATTGTCTAACCACTCTGCTGTGTACCTGAATCTAATCTATATAATAAAAGCCTAAAATGCAAATTGAGCGAACAACGCAATGACTGGTGGAACGACTGGTTGCTATGATGCACACTGACCACCAGGGGGCAGATGCTCAAAGCAGGAGCTGCTCCCAACCCGCAGGCCCCAGGCAAGCCAAGGCAGGTGCAAGCGGGGGCCCCCCTGATCACCCCACCAGTTGCCCCGCAGAGGGAGGCGACCAGCAGCATTGGGGAGGTGGTGCTGACTGGCGAGCAGGCTACCGCTGCCCCCTGATTACCCCACCCATTGCCCCACAGATCGGCCTTGATTGCTGGCCAGGCCTCGGGATCTTACCCATGCACGAATTTCATGCACCGGGCCTCTAATATAAAATAATATTGAAGAGCAACTATAATTGGAAAATAAACTTTATTATGAAAAAAAGTAACAGGTGGGAAGCTGATTAAAATTATACAGGAGACATTTTCGTACTCACTCATTGTTTTAATTTATTTTCAAGACAGGACCCCAAATGGAATCCTAGTTATGCTGAACACCAAGCACCCTTCATTATTTCCTTTTTTTAATTTAAATTCTTTATTGTTTAAAGTATTACATAAGGCTCCTTTTCCCCTATTGACCTCTCCCCGGCCGCCCCCACCCCCAGCACATGACCTCTTCCCCTCCCCACCCCGTCTGTGTCTCTTGGTTTTGCTCATATGCATGCATATAAATCCTTTAGTTGATCTCTTAATCCCTTACCCTCCAACCTCCCTCATAGGTAAGGTTTGTTCGATGCTCCTATGACTCTGGTTCTATTTTTGTTCCTCAGTTTATGTTGTTCATTATATTCCACAAATGATTGAGATCATGTGATTTTTATCTTTCTCTGACTGGCTTATTTCACTTAGTATAATGCTCTCCAGTTCCATCCAATGCTGTTGCAAATGGTAAGAATTCCTTCTTTTTTACAGTAGCATAGTATTCCATTATTTCTTGCCTCTAGTTTATGGCAAGAGAGGCACCCAATGGAAGATTGTGCTAATGTAAGATTATGTTGATGGCATAGACAAAAGGCTGATCTTCTGTTAAAAATATTAAAGCAACATTTCTCAGATTCGACATCTTTATTGGTGTGAATCAAACCCTAGTTCCATTGTTAACTCTTAACCTATGGAGAAAAATTATTTTTTATCTTTTAAAAATATCAACCTTGAACCACACCAACTCACTAGTGCTAACTCAAAACTTCTCCTTGTGGTACTGCATTCCCATTGAGAGGCTGAATGGTATTTTAATCAACTGTCATCAATAAAGTCAATAAAACAGGGCATTTAAAAAATTACATGTAGTAGAGGTTGCAGGGAAAAGACCAGAAATGCTTCCTAGTGGAAAATTTACCAAAGCTGTATGTCAAGGATAAATAAGGTTGTGTTTGTTTTTTTTATAGAGGGTCAGGACAGGACTTCATCCAAAGCAAACAAATTACAAATTGTGAGACATAATGTCTAAAACAACACAGCAATTTAGGGAATGTTAAGAGCAAAATGCCATGGTTGTAGTTGTTGGTTACATATTGTGATAATTTTTAAAAATTAATAAAATTAAATAGTTGAAATATTTCAAAACTAAAAATCCTATAAATAAAAGCCTAATATGCTAAGTGTCCAGTGGTACGTTCAACCAATTAAAGCATAATATGCTAATGATATGCTAAGGCCACTCAACCGCTTGCTATGACATGCACTGACCACCAGGGCACAGATGTTCCAACTGGTAGGTTAGCTTGCTACTGGGGTCTGGACAGTTGGGACTGAGCAAGATGGACCAGACATGTATTGGAGCCCTCGGGGGTCCATCTCTGGCTGGTCAACTTCCCATGTCCTTCCACGGCCCCAATCATGCACTGGTGGGGTCCTTCTGTCTGGCCTGCACCTTCTCACAATCCGCGACCCCTCTGGGGATGTTAGAGAGCTGGTTACAGCCCGATCCCAGAAGCCAGGCTGAGGGACATCACTGGTGCACGAATTCATGCACTGGGCCTCTAGTTTATTAACATTAAAATATTGAACTTGTATATAACTTGTATAGAAGTAAAACTGGTAAAAGAAAAATAGTTCACCAAATTAAATAATTTGGAAAAAAAAGACTGTATTATTGGTAAAAACCTCAATGAGAAGTATTATTTGAGCTACTTTCAAAAACACAGTTTTAAAAATAAAGTTTTCCATCTTATGAGAGTCAATTGACATAATTGTGTATGTTTCAGATGTGCAATGTGTATATTTGATGCACACATGTATTGCAAAATGATCATTACCATGACACCTCCATCATGATACATAATGACTATTTCTTTCCTATGGTGAATATATTTAAGATTTTCTCTCTTAGCAGCTTTCAAGAAAGCCCACTGCATGGGAGAATATATTTGCCAATGTTATCACCGATAAGGGTTTAATCTCCAACATTTACAGGGAATTCATACAACTTAAAAAAAGGAAGATAACAAGATGAACAAAAACAAATCCAGAGACAGAGAAGCATCGATCAGACCGTCAAACCTCAGAGGGAAGGTAGGGGAGGGTGGGGGTATGGGGGAGAGATCTACCAAAAGACTTATATGCAAGAATATAGGCCTAACCAATGGACACAGACAACAGGTTGGTGAGGGCATGAGTGGGGGCGTCAGGGGGGTAATGGGGGGGTAAGGACGCATATGTAATATCTTAATCAATTAAGAAATTTGAAAAAGAGTATATAATACAGTATTACTAACTACAATCACCATGCTGTACATTAGATCCTCAGAACTTATTCATCTTATAACTTTTTTTTTTGTTTCATCATTCATAGGTGGGTTTTCAAGTCTGTTACCTCCATCAGTTTTGACAGAGACATGTTCAGAGCCCACATTTTGTAGAAATCTTTGGTCTACAGCAAGATTTATATTTTTGGCCAAAGATTTTCACTGATGGTTTACTCTCTACTTCAGTTTTGCAAATGTTAGCTAAATACTTTATTTGATTTTAGTTTTGAAAATGTTGCATCTTTATTTAGAAAACCATATTGATGTTTAGAAAGTTCTGACAATTGCATCTGACTGTTCCTAAGAATTTGCATAGCATGGTAGAATGTGAACATTTCCCTAATCTGATTTGTTTAAAAATCATAAGAGAACACAAAGTATCTTTGTTTTTGTTTTGTTTTGCTTTGTTTTTCTTTTGTTTACTGAAGCCTTTGGCGCTTACACATTTACAACCATAACATGTACAAAAAAGCATTTTACTAAAAGTCTGACTGTCCTGTGCTTTTTGAAAGAAATGTTAAATTCTAAATGGGTCATTTTGGTTCGAAATTTTAAAGCAAGAGCTGAGTTCAGAATAGTATTATTCAGGAAATTTTTAAATATGAATTGAATAAGGAAGTCCTTGACTTGACTTCATAACCTAAAAAATTCCTCAATAAAAGTAATACACCAACAAAACACCTGATATTTAAAAATAACAGAGCATAATGGAACATGTACAACCGGTATGGCAATCACAAAATACAAATATTTTGGTTGATTCTGCCTTTCCCAATGCAAACAGGACATGGTAGATGACCTTGATCACTACACCAATACTTACCAAATCTACTCCAAGGACCCCAAGAACTGTCAGGAAGTGCTTGGCTCGCCAGAAGTCATCAATTGGAAACAGCATTTGCAGATCCAAAGTAAGTAAGAGGAATGGGAAGTGTGCTGACTCACTTCTCTGTCCTCATAATTTCCCGTATGATTCATATATTTCTCTATACAGTGGGGCCTTGACCTATGAGTGTCCCGACTAAAGAGTTTTTTTGAGATATGAGCCATCTCTCGGCCGATTTTTTGCTTTGAGTTGCAAGCTCAAAAAAATTCAGATTACGAGCCAGCTTCAGATAGCCCACCGCTAGTTGGCGCAGCGAACGTCACAGTGATTTGACATACGAGTAATTTGAGTTATGAGCTCCGTCATGGAATGAATTAAACTTGTAAGTCAAGGCCCCACTGTACTTCAGACCCTCAGCCTGCTATCAATTTTTTACTCAGCTGTGAATATAACTGTAGTGGGGAAAAACACCCTCAAAGCTAGCAAAAAATGGGCTTAGTATAGGAAACATAATTTTTTGATAGCCACGAATTTATTTTGCAGACATATCCATAATCCCTTAGGTTGGTTGAGTGCCAGGGCAGAGCTTCCCCTAGGACAGCGGTTCTCAACCTGTGGGTCCCGACCCCTTTGGGGGTCAACCGACCCTTTCACAGGGGTCACCTAAGACGATCAGAAAACACATATACAATTACATATTGTTTTTGTGATTAATCACTATGCTTTAATTATGTTCAATTTGTAACGATGAAATTGGGGGTTACCACAACATGAGGAACTGTATTAAAGGGCCGCGGCACTATGAAGGTTGAGAACCACTGCCCTAGGGCCTTCCATGCCAGGAATAAGAATGACAACTCGTGCCATAAAGTACCTCCTAGGTCATTAAAGAAACCGCATGATTATGAGCATGTCTTCCAGAATCACACTCCCTTGGATGGCATTTGTCTGTTACTTGCTATGTCATCTTAGCCACTAGAATTATCCTCACTGAGTCATATATAAAAACAAGGATAACAATGGTAGCTAAAGCACAAGGGTGTTGAAAAGATTAGATAACATATTGAATAGGAATTGTGTAGCACAATACCTGGATGTGTCAATTAACTTGGACTGCAAAGCAAACCTCAGAATTCTGTGAAACAACATTTGGACTGGGCTTTGCAAGACAGTTCTTCTGCTGGTTTCACCCAGATTTACTCATATGGCTGCAGGGTGTTAATGAATGGACTATGCACTAGTTGCTCTAGCATGGCCTCATTCACATGCCTGAATGACAGTTCTGGCTGTCGGTGCTGGCTACCTTGATGACAGCATGATAGGAGCACAAGTCCTCAGCTGACTAGCTTAATCCTATCCATATGGTGTTGGTCTCAAGGAAATCAGGAGCACAAAGAAAGCCAATGGTGCAAGCCCTCTTTAACCTCTCTCTGCATCAAGTGTACTCTTTTCCATTGGCAAAATCAAGCTGTATGGCCAAGGTCAGATGCATTACAGGAGGGGACGATTCCAGGGAAAAGACACAAAGAGACATGGGCACATTGTGGGTTATTCCTACAACAATCTACCATACTATGAACAGAGTAAGTGCACATGAGATGTTGGCTACTATAGTTTGTATAATGACTCTCCTGTGATTATGAAAACAATACGTTCATGTGGCCCCGAAAAATAAGTTCCAGTCTTGGCATTGCACCAATGGTGTAACTATGGTTGTGAATGAATCTTTGAGGACCTTCATTACACAAATCTTGACTACGTGATGCCCGATCACACATTGGCAGTACCAAGCCAGAACATAGGTTTTTAGACTGTAAATGTAGACATGTACCACTCTACTGGACAGCTTCTCCATAAAATGCACTGAAATAGTTGCATGTCTCCTCAAAACCCCATCTAGGTTCCCAGTCCAACCTGAATGAGGTGATACAAAATCTCGCAGCCAGCAAATCCTGCAAAGTCAAGCACACAGAGCGCTTTCTCTATGCGGAACTGGCTGACACTGTAAAGAAGCTAATTCCTTCTCTGTTTGATGTAAAGAACTTACCACCTGGTGATGGCAAACCCAAGGCCATGTAAGTTTGAGATATGTCACTGCATACTCACACCTCCCATTCCTGAAGTAGCCTCCCAACGTCTCTTCCTGCTTTCACTCTTGCTTCCCTACAGTCAATATTCTTCAAAGCAGCCAAATCATTGTTTTCAGAAATGTATCATAGACAATACAGACAAGAACAGATATAATAAGTACTCATGGACTTTACTTTTCTCTTGGAACTTCCATAGCAATCAAGAAATGTTTAAACTCTCATCCCTGGATGTTACCCATGCTGCCCTGGTGAATAAATTCTGGCATTTTGGTGGCAATGAGAAGAGCCAGAGATTCATCGAGTGCTGTATCCAGAAGTTCCCCACGTTCTGTCTGCTGGGGCCTGAGGGGAACCCTGTGTGCTGGGGCCTGATGGACCAGACAGGAGAGGTACGCATGGCAGGCACCCTGCCTGAGTACCGGAAGCAGGGTCTCATCTCCTATGTCATCTATATCCAGACCCAGGCTCTTAACAACCTTGGCTTCCCCATATATTCTCACACTGACAAGAATAACAAAATAATGCAGAAAATGAATTACAATCTGCATTATATCCACATGCCCTGTACCTGGAACCAGTGGTACTGTGTGCCTCTGTGATGCCGTCCTACAAACAAGTATCAGATGGTCCCCAACATGTGGCTGGAGCAATGGATGGGTGGGTAGAGAAAGAATAAATTGTACATAATTGTAATTATCAGTAAAGCAGTGGGCTCTGGGGAGGCAGTGTGAATGTCCAATACCATGGTCCCTGCACTCAAGTCACTGCTGGCTTCCCTTAGATGTATCAGGTTGAAGCAGCCTCAGGCACTCCACATGGTTTAGTTCCCCCACGCTTCCGGGGATCTCCATGACACTCTCATCAGCTACATGCTGCCCAGAATGGCTTCTCCTAGAACTCCTATTGTGTGGATCTGTAGAGCCTTGCCAGATTTTCCAGAGACAGGTAATAATTTTTGAGCATTATGACTTACTCTTCTCTCTTTCTATGGTCTTTCTCCTAATGATCAGCAAGTGCACTCTGCTCAGTAGGTCTGTAGAGATTATCCTCTCCTCTGATTACTGCTTTCTCGATACATTAAAGGATTACACACTAATATGTATGAAATACTAGGTTAAACATAGTGTACTTGATATGGCAGGGAGAGTTTCGAAGAAAAAGACTAACTTATATTAGCCTATCCCCTCCTCACTCCCACATCAGGGAAAATGATTCACTGTTGCTTCTAACAGCAGAACTTTTCTATATCTACCCAAACCCCAAACAATAAAGAGATTTTGTGTTTGATTGTACAAGTTGAAGTGAAGTGGTTTGTGATGGGAAGAGCCTGGGTTGGGCTTATGGAGAGTGGGAAGACCCAGACCCAGGGAGGTGGCTATTTATTGAGAAGAGAGAAGGTTAGGGGAGGGCAGTACATCGTGGTACCTACTGTTTCACTTGACCTTGGCACATTATTTCAGGATGCCTAAATTCTATGCAGACCAGACAATAGTCTCATGGGAAAGTCTGGTTGGTGGTATGGAGCAATTTTTGTCCTGGTTGGATCAGGGTAGTTGGGAGAGTTTCCTGCCCCAACATTTCAATAGGAACAGCACTAAACCTTGGCACTGGGCAACAAAGAGAGCACTGTACTGAACATAGTCATCTGGATTAAGAGCCTGTGTGCTTTTGGTCCATCTACAACTAGAATTAGGCTGTGGAATTGAAGATGAAGGCCCCACAAACAGAGAAACCAATGTGTGAGGTTTAATTTCTTCTCCACTCAAAAGAGTGGTGGCTCAGGTTAGAGAAGGGATTCTCAACCTTGGTACAATGGGCGTTATAGAGTGGACAATTCTTTGTTAAGGGGCATCCTGTGCATTTATAGGATATGGAGCGGGATCCCTGCTCACAACTCACTGGATGTCAGTAACACTTGCCATTCCAGTTATGACAACTAAAAATGTCTCCAGTTCTTGAAAACCTCCCCTGGTGGCAAAATCAACTTCAGTTGAGAACCATGGGTTTAGGAGTTTAGGTTCTTTCACTTGAGGATGCATCTGAATCATTTAGGGGGATTGTTAATATAGATAGTGGGCTTCACCCCTAGATTTTCTGATTCAGTAGATTTGGGGTAGATTCCCAGATTTACATTTCTAACAAGTTTCCTGATGCTGCTGGTCCAGGAGCCATAGAACTATAGGTGAAAATTAGTATTGCACACTTCTTAGACATATTGTTTTGCCTTAGTATTTATCATGTAAATTTTTAAAAATAAATGTTTATTGATTTCAGAGAGGAAGGGAGAGAGAAATAGAAACATTAATGATGAGAAAGAACCACTGATCGACTGCTTCCTGCATGCCCCCTACTGTGGATTGAGCCTGGAACCTGGGCATGTGCCCTTGACAGGAATTGAACCCAGGACTGTTAGTTCCCAGGCCAATACTCTATCCATCAAGGCAAACTAGCCAGGGCAATGTAAATTTTTTTCTAATTGATATGTCATATTTCATAAAATCATTTTTTTCTGTTAAATAGACATTCAATATTTCATATTCACTGCAGCTATATATTACTAGAGGCCCAGTGCACAAAAATGCATGCATTCAGGGGTCCCTCAGTCCAGCCTACACCCTCTTGCAGTCTGGGACCCTTTGGGGGATGTCCGACTGACGGCTTAGGCCCACACCCCAGGGAATCGGGCCTAAGCTGTCAGTCAGACATCCCTCTGGCAGCCTGGGAGCCCTCAGGGGATGTCCAACTGTGGTTTAGGCCAGCTTCTTTGCAGCCAACTCTGCGGAAGGCACAGTGCCAGGACTGGGCCCCTGCCGCCGCCTCTCCCATCGCTTCTGCAGGGAGGGGGGGGGAGGTGCCAGGACCATTGTGGCTAGCCTGGCAGTGCAGGCTCGCTGGACCTGACCCCACCCACTGGTTGTTCTGGCAGGTCATTCCAGAAGATTTAATTATAATACTAGCTCTTTATTATATAGGATAGTAGTTAGATAGTTATATAATTTACAACATGGTTTCCCCAATAAATTTAGTTCCTACCTCACCCATACATAGTTATTACAATATTAGAGGCCCGATGCACAAAATCTGTGCAAGGGGCTCGGCCCTCACATCTGCGGCTTTGTTCACAAGGTTGTCCAGATGGTCGTTCTGCTGTTTGGTCTAATTAGCATATTAGCTCTTTATTATAAAGGATTATTGACTACATTTGTGCACTGGGCCTCTAGTATTGATGGAGGGGTCCCTCAGCCCAGCCTGCACCCTCCTGCAGTTTGGGACTCCACAGGGGATGACCAATTGGTCCTTAGCACTGCCATGGAGGCAGGAGGGGCTCCTGCCACTGCTGCTGCACACGCTGCCATGAACCTGGCTTCTGGCTGAGTGGTGCTCCCCCTGTGGGAGCGCACTGACCACCAGGGGTCAGCTCCTGTGATGAGCATCTGCCCCCTGGTGATCAGTGTATGTCATAGAGACCAGTCATTCCACCGTTGGCTCAATTTGTTTATTAGGGTTTTATTATATAGGACTAGAGCCCTGGTGCATGAAATTCATGCTCTGTAGGGGGAGTCCCTCAGCCCAGCCTGCACCCTTTCACAGTCCCAGACCCCTCTCTCCTTACCGCCCTCCTGCTTGCTGCTCCTTACCACTCAGCTCACTGCTCCTTAGTACTGCCACTACGCTCACCAGCCATGAGCCCTGTCTTTCTGTGTAGTTGTCTGTGGGCCAACTGCTTTCTTCCTTCTCATTTAGGGTGAGCAGCACGTGAGGGCAGAGAGCACTGTCATGGAACGCAGAGGGCAGCCCAGAGCTGAGGGGAGTGGCCAGACCCACGGGGTGAGAGGTGGACACAGAGTACACTATCTCACCCAATTGTGGGGCAGGCTGGCCAGTCTCCATCAGCCTGACCTCACCCAGGCAGGACTGAGCAGGGTGTCCGCCTCTCCATTCTCCATCCTTCCATCTGTGACACCTGTCTCCCTTGCCATCCTCCCCCAAAGTGAGTTCAGCTCAATCCCTGAGTGTAAAAGGGCACGGGGGCTGGGGGGTGGGGGCTCCACTCCAGTGCTCCCTGATTCCCAGCGACAAGACCTGGTCTCAGGATGGTGGCCACAGCTGCAGAACATAGATCTGTTTCAAGAAAAGTTGGGAATGCAGACTTTCCTATGAGCCTCTATTCCAAAAGGTGTCAGTTTATTTACATTGTGGCAAATGCACCTTCAAGTAGGTAAAGTCAGGGCCAAAGTGGGCCATTTCCTCATCCAATCTCTCTGAGGCATGTGGACAGAACCAAGTCTCAGCTCTTAGCAGATCGCTTCCGGGGTTTTTTTTAAGCCTAAAGGACAGTAGTCTGTCTTCATTCTTGTTCTTTGGGATTTTTTCATCCTCAGATAAAAGGATACATACAGTGGGGCAATCCTCTCGAAATACAATATTCCAGTTGCATCTATGTGACCACAACAACACCACTCAGAGAGAGCGAGCCGACAGATCCGAAGCAGGGAATTCTGAAAACCAAAACAATGACAGAGATGCTAAGCCTTTCCTTCATGTGTCTGACACCCCTCCTCAGGTGGCCTGCAGGCGGGGCATCTGCTGGACCTTTACCACTTGATGTCCTGGCGGGCTGCCCTGGGCCCTGCTAGGCGGTGTGTAGGTCTGCCTGGGCGCAGGGGGATTCGCCCCCCGTCCCTCAGCCACTCGTGATACAGCTCCTGCACATGGGCGCTGGTCTCCGGGGGCCACACCGGGATGGCGGTGTAGATGCCTTCCATCTGCTGCAGCAGTGCCCTGTCTGCACGCCCGTCATCTGCCTAGGCCTGGCCCCTGCAGCTTAGGCATCCCTGGCACAGGCCAGGCAGCCCCTCTACAGCTTCAGTACCACTTTCAGATGTTCCAAAAGCTATAAGCAGCCTCAAAGCATAGCAGAACCTCTCCGTCCCTTTCAAGGGTGACCTCCTGGAAGTCTTTGTTCCTCAGGCTGTGGTAGGTGAGCACCACCACATCCTCGTTGAACAGCTCCTTGGCCATGTGCCTGTAGATGTGGGCCAGGTACCCGTCGGAGCTGGCAACCTCGTGGAGCCTTCTCTTCCTCCTCCCTCATGTCTCCAAACAGAGTCATGAATCGTCATTTGAGGCGAGGTCACTTTGCTCCATTATCTGGACAATTTCACCTGAGGTTAACACACTGTCAGCACTCCAGGAACTATGCAAAGCTGTGGGAACATCTTCTCAAAGGGCCTCCAGTTTCTTGTCATAACACCAGCCACAATGACTTGGAAAATCTTGTCTGGGGACAGGTTCTACTACCTGATGAAGTAATCCTTCACCAGAGAGCCCATGATCTGCTGGTGAGATTTGGCCGTGATGGGGTGATCCAGCTGGGGTAGGCGGAGGTCAGCATGGGTAGCCGGGGCTCTTCCTCATGGTGCTGGCAGTACCAACGGACAAATTCCTTTTGACTCTCTAGGACGCTGAAGTCCGCAGCTATCTTCATATCAAAGACAGTGCACCCCAAGGCTTTTGAGGAAGCCTCAGGGCCTTCTGGATACATCAGGGACACTGAGGCTGAATGTAGCAGCAAAATAAGGCAGAAACTGAAGACACATGACACTGCCAGCACCTTGTGCTGTGAGGTATCACATCTCTTATTAAGGTTCAGAACATGGAAGAAGTC